AAAAAAAAAAAAAAAAAAAAATCAAACTACTGAGCAACTACTCTTAATACAATATCATATCTTAAATCCAAAACAATTTCATAACAATCTTGTCATATACACAATCTTCTTGAATGAACTGAACATTTATAATCTTAATCTTAATTCTTATACAGTACTTCTATAATAATTCAATTACAATACAAAGATCAAACCATTAATTTCTACATAACATATTTACAATAACTTAATCATAATTCATGTCAAAGCACAAATTATATAAGAGCTGAACCACTTCTTATATAATGACAACTCAAGTAATATAAACTTAAACATACAATTCTATCTATAACCATGTTAATTAATTATATCTGTCAGCCTCTAAAATGACTATCTTGGTAACGGGGCGCACAAGTTCTGTGTTTCTTGTTTTTACCCTTACTGACCGAACATGCCCGTCCCTTCCTTCATTTACCCCTGTCACTAACCCCAATGGCCACAAACCTCTAGGGGAATGTTCACCTACAATAAGCACAAGATCACCAACTGATACATCTTTGCACAACTTAGTCCATTTTACACGCCTTTGTAGCTCTGGTAAATACAATTTTGTCCACTTCAACCAGAATTGATTTGCAAGATGTTGGACATGTCTCCATCGCTTGCGAAATATATCTCTATCACTAAATTTACCTGGCGGCAAATTGATACCTTCCTTGAGCAAAAACAAATGATTGGGTGTCAGAGGTAAGGGGTCGTTTGGATCATCACTGAGTTTTGTGAGTGGCCTACTATTAATGATAGACTCAACTTCAGCAAAGACAGTTTCTAAGATTTCATCTGAAAGTCTGACAGGACCCAACAACAAACCTTCCATAACTCGTCGCGCACAACCAATCATGCGTTCCCACACTCCACCCATGTGTGAAGCTGCGGGGGGGTTAAATGTCCAATCTATATTTCTGCTCAAAGCGTATGCATGAATTTCATTTTGAGACAATTCCTGCAACCCTCTTTGTAGTTCAGCCTTTGCCCCAACAAAATTAGTACCGTTGTCTGAGTAAACCTTTTCAGGACATCCTCTTCTAGAAATAAATCTACGAAAACAATTGATAAAGGACTGTGTGTCAAGAGTGTGTAACATTTCAATATGTACCGCTCGAGTCACAAAACATGTAAACATGCACCCATATCTTTTGATTTCCGAACGATTGACCTTTACCATGAAAGGACCGAACACATCTACCCCGACATTTGAAAATGGTGGTTTACCACATTCGATCCTTTCCTTGGGAAGATTCGCCATGATCTGTGATGCTGGCTTACCAAATAATTTGCCGCAAGAAACACAATTTCGGATCACTTTCTTGACTACTGATCTGCCACCAGTAACCCAATAGTGTTGCCTTATAATACCAAGAGTCCATTCCCGACCTGAATGAGAAATTCTGTGAAAATGGGAAGCTATTGCCGTAGCAATGACATGTTTTCCAGGTATTATAGGTGGATTCGCACTTTCTAAATGCAACTCGTTCAGTCTCCCTCCTACTCTGAGAATGCCATTCTCGTCCAGAAAAGGATTGAGTGATTTCAAATTACTGGAATTATGCACACTCTTTCCATGCATCAATCTCTCAATTTCACATTCATAATGTAAGTTCTGCACTCGTTTAATGAAACAAAGCTCGGTACGTAGGATCTCCTTTACACACAAAGGTCCACGTTTAGCATCCTTAAATCTAAGGATCTCTACTAAACGGAGAATCCATGCTAATACGCGTTTCATTTTATACCAGCCAGAAAAATGACGCGTTATTTGATCCAATGGATTCACGCTTTCATTGTCTAGAGCATTACACTCTCTAATTGAATCTCGTATTTCAGAATCATCTGCACTAATATCTTCACTGTAATTCGACTGTTGCCACTCACATTTATGCCGTTTTAGAAATTGCGGACCACGGATCCACAAGTCTGACAATTCTTGAACATTGCAACTCCGCGACGCGATGTCAGCCGGATTACACTTCCCAGAAATATGTCTCCACTGAGATAAATTTGAATTTTGTCTAACGTAAGACACTCTGTTTTCAATAAAAGTATTGAAACGTCTGTTTTCATTCGCGATGTATCCTAACGCGACTTTGCTATCGGTCCAAAACACAGTAGGCAACAACGGAATACCCAACTCGCGTTGAACAAACTGATCCAAATCTACGGCCATCACACATGCCACAAGCTCCAATCTCGGAATGGTCAATTGTTTCAATGGTGCTAATCGCCCTTTTGCAATCAACAACGCTACATATATTTCTCCTTGAGCATTTACTGAACGTAAATATGCACAAGCCCCATACGCACACTGACATGCATCACTGAACACATGCAATTCTGAAGCACCGTCGATAAATTCTTCAGGAATGACACATCTTTTAAATCTGATAATCTCCAAATCTCTCAAAGATCTGAACCAAGTCGTCCATCTATCAGCTAAATCAATTGGTATTGGCTCATCCCAATCCAATTTCAATCTCGTCGCGTCTTGAAAAATCATTTTCCCACGTAGTACAATTGGACAAATCAAGCCAATAGGGTCATATATACTGGCTATCGTACTCAGCATAGAACGCCTCGTGACATTCGACATTTCACCATCAAGTTTGAAAATAAAATAAAATTCATCCGAGTTGATATCCCATTTTAATCCTAATGCTTTGGCATATGCATCGGAATTAAGTTCTTTCACTTCTTTTGCACGGTCATCCGGCGCAATGCATTCTAAAATCTCGGGGTCATTCACTACAAGCTTCGTGAGATTAAACCCGCCTTCAGCTATTGCACGTTTTACGCCTATGATCACTTCAGACGCATTTTCTTTTGAATTGAATGACTTCAATAAATCGTCTACATAAAAATTCCGTAATACGGTGTCTCTGATTTGTTCACTAACATCGGTATCTCTAACCGTGTGCCTCAGTGCAAACGAACTTGCACTGCCAGACCACTTTCCACCGAAAAAGTGCACTTTCATGCGATAATGTACGATAGAATCCCCTTCTCTCCATATAAAACGCAAAGCGTTTCTGTCATGTGTCGGCACAGTCACTTGATAGTACATTGATTTAATGTCAGCCATAACCGCGTATTTATACTGTCGGAATCGTAGAAGGATACTCATAAGCTGATTCATGAGCACAGGACCTTGAAAACATTGATCATTTAAACTGACACCGGAACATTTGCATGAGCAATCAAAGACTACTCTGAATTTGTCAGGCTTTGCTGGATTTAATACTACATGATGAGGAATGTACCACACCGTATTATCCCGTAAATCAATTTCATCATCAGGTACTCTTTCAGCGAAACCGTCAGATATCAACCCTTTCACATTATCATCGTATTTTTGATAAAGATCAGTTTTCGCTAATCTGTGTTCTAAACCTTTTAATCGATGAAAAGCTACCAATTTATTGTCAGGAAGATTAGGGCACCCATCCTTCCATGGTATCGGAAGTACATAATGTCCATCTTCCTTTGTAATACTCGATTCCCAGAGATGTAACACCCGCTTATCTTCTTGCGAAAAACTCTGAGTTTCAATTTGATTTTCTAAAGTCCACAAATTTTCAATCTTTTCATCTAAGGACAAAAAATTGACCGACACCTCCGCGGACGTTGATTCACTACCGGGACCATTCAGGCACCAACCTAACCGACTTTTTGATGCGTATAGTTCACACTGAGCGCTTTCATCAATTCTCATTTCAACTGG